TGAAAATAGGAGGAAGGAATATCAACAATATAAGATATGCAGATGACATGATATTACTAGCAGAAAACCTCACAGACCAGGAACATCTACAAAGGAAGATCAAAGAAGAAAGTGCAAAGGCAGGCTTAATGTTGAACATAAAGAAACAAAAATAATGACCACCGAGGACCTTCACACAAGTCCAACCTAGACAACGAAGAAATACAAATACTGGGATCAAACATTGCTAGAAATGGGAACTGCAGTCAGGAAATCTGAAGAAGACTAAGAATGGGGAGGGTGGCTATGAAAGAACTAGAAAAGTTTCTAAAATACAAAGATATATAACTCAGCACAAAAGTTAGAATCATACAAGCCATTGTATTCCTTATTACCATGTATGGATGCAAGAGCTGGACAGTTAAGAAAGATGATAGGAAGAAAATCAATTCATTTGAGATGTGGTTTTGGAGATGAGTGGTGAGGATCCCAGGGACAGCCAAAAGGACAAGCAAGTGGGTCCTACGGTAGATCAAACCAGAAACCTCCCTGGAAGCCAACATGACCAAACTGAGACTGTCATACTTCAGACGTATCATGAGAAGAGAGGACTCTTTGGAAAAAACAATCATGCTGGGGAAGGTGGAGGGAAGTAGGAAGACAGGAAGGCCATATGCGAGATGGATGGACTGTATTAAAAAGGTCACGGGTATGGAATTGCAGGAATTAAGCAGAGCAATGGAAGACAGAGGGTCTTCAAGATGTCTCATCCATAGGGTTGCCATGAGTTGAGATCGACTCGGGGGCAGTTAACAACAAAAATTACAATGTCCTTATGATTTATGGCAGTCCCTCTCAGAAGCCCACCATTATAAATTTTAACTTGAAACTTGTTACCACCATCCCAATCGAGTAACAAACAAAAATGTTCTGACAAATTCTGAGACATCTACTACATTGCCCCAATGAGTTATGACAGTCCCCATTTGTTTCCAAGATCCTCCACTCACCTTCCTGGGTAAGATTTTTTTTAAAAAACTGAGCACTTGTTGGACAAGAACAGAAACTGCTCTGTCAAATTTTGAAAAGTCTCCCATAATTTATTGATTAGTTATGGCTGCTGCACTTTTGCTTCTAGCAAGGCCCTCATTTGGAACTTTGACTTGAAAATCAAAACTAAAACTTCAAGTTTAAAAGAAAAGTCTGTTAAATTTTAGAATGATGTCCCAATTAGTTACGGCTGCCATAGACATATGCAAAGACTTTGGGGATTATCACACAGGAGGCTAGAATGTCTTAAGTGACTTTAAATTGTTAATAACACACGATCGGGGTTCACACGCACATATATGTCCCATCTGTAAAGTGTCATGGATGGGTCCCTGGATCTCTGCTTGCCTATCCCATCAGTAACACATCCTTGGAGCCATCATTTTTCAATAATGGAAGATTGCATTACTGAAAAATGACGGCTCCAAGGACACGTTACTGATTGGACAGGCGAAGAGGAGCCAGGGACGCGTCCATGACACTATACAGATGCGACAAACGTGTAAACATGTGAACCCCGATCACAGGTTATTGACAATTTAAAGGCATTTTAAAGACACTTTAGCCTCCCGTGTGATAATCTCCTTTGTCTTTCATTATTATGTTTGTCTGTGCATATGTGCCTTCAAATCGCCTGTCAACTCATTGCAAGCCCATGAATTTTATATGGTTTTTTTTTGGGCAAGTAATACTTAGAGGTCATATTGCCAGTTCCTTTGTCTAAAATATAGCCTACAACACCTGGTATTCCTTGGTGATCTCCCATTTAAGTACTAACTACAACTAACCCTGCTTCATTTCCAAGATCAGATGGATATAGATAACAGTAAATTTTAGCAATCTGGTTAATCATTATGCCTTAAATTTGATTTAATATCTAATTTAAATAGGTAACTAAAATTATAATTTATCACCACTACCATCATAGAGAATTGCTTTGGAAACTTACAAAATCACATTTCTAGATTGAGACTGAAATGAAGAAAATGTTAACTCAGAATAATTTTATACAAAAAGCAAATCATGTGAGAAGTAAAAAATGAAGAGAGATGAG